TGTTGTTGGTTAAGATGCACCTTCCAGCTGAGATTTGCTTCTTTCCTGGGGCATTTGTGCTCCTCCACTTCCAGACCCTAAAACTGGACTGGAAATGTTCTCTTGCCATGAGACTCATGATTTTTGTTCTTGGATGAAATGAGCACATACAGGGGTCTTTGACACCCCACACCTTATGCACTGCAACAGGGGAAAAAAGCCAAAAACCCCAAAATACTCTCTGAATGAATCTTTATGGTGATTCAAAATATTTCAGGTTGATCCTGTCATATGCTGTATAAGTTCCTGACTGATTGTATGGAATTAAGTTATTGGGCAGAGAACCAGCTAATGGAAACACATTGATGAAATCATTTTTGAGGGACATTAAATGGGACTTAAAATAAAGCTGAAATGGCTTTATGGATTTTTCAGTCAAACTGTTTATGAACATTTATCGGTGGTAAATTACACAGTGTCAGAAGAGGGAATCAGTATAATGGAAGACTCTCTGATATAATACTGTGAGAAAGAATAATTTATTGCCTAGAGATGTACAGTACAGTGTGTTTAAATCCAAATGATATTATTGTTTTCTTCTGTCTTTGGCTGATTGCACATAAGTTACCCTTAGCAGCAGCAGAGAGTCTCATATGATGAAAAAAAATATTAGCACTTTGCAATGAAATAGAAATTTTCTGTATGTGTTTTTCAGATAGAAAATGTTTTAATAACTGATAATTCAGGAAGCAGAAACTGTGTTGTACAATAATAAATGTAACTTATATTGGCTTTATGCTCAGTAAAAGAGGAAGAGAGATCGAGCAGCTTTGATTGAAAAGGGAGATTGCAGCAGCTGATTCTTGAACTGTTGGAGCTGTTTGTTAATACCATTTGCCAAAATCCATCATTTCTCAGGTAGAGGATAGTGAAAATAAGACTAGAGGAATGCAAGACTAGAAAGAAATTTCTGGTCCTGAAAATACTGCCCCTTGTTTCAGGGACAGCAGATCTTCCAGTCAGGCATTTCTCAGACCTGTCATATTGTCTGTCCCATCTAACTGAAAAGCTGCTCCCATTGCTCTTTTGTCTCACTTTCCTTCCCAAATACTCAGGACCAGTTTACTGCCACTCATGTAAGCACTGGCTCTCATATAAACATGGGCTTAGAGCCAGTGGTTCTTTTCCCTTGGGGTTATTTACCCTCCTGATGTATTTGTGCACAGCATGAGTATCCTTCTGAGCACATCATGCTGCTCAGCTACACAGCCAACTCCTTCCAGCCTTCTTTTACAGGACAGATAGATTTCTGTTTGTGCAGTCAGGACAGTTTTTCCTCTCTGGGGATGAGCAGGAGGGCACACAATAGTTCAAGGATTCACTGATGATTCTTAAAATAATTTGGTTTCCTTTCTCTTTTGGTGTTCCTGTTAGACTTTCTTATTGCCTTTCAGTTTAATATCATGTTTGCTGTCCATAAATCATGAGCAGCATTCAGCTTTTATCCAGGGACATTATATCTTGGAATCCTCCAACATGTAGAAGAAATTTTTACTACTTTCTAAGCACATGAACTTGGACTTCATATTTTCAATTATTTGTTACTCCATAACATCCCAGTTTCCTACAGCAGAGCTGGAATAGCCCACTTCAGTGACAACAGCACATTTCCCTCAAAATTTACTTCCTTTTTTTTCCAAAGCCTTGAGTCACAGTTGGATTCCATGATCTGCAGAGTCTTTTCCAACATCAGTGATTGTGTGATTCTAAAACCACTAAATGAGGTCACTTCCTCCAGCCTTCACTTTCAACACCCTCCAACACTGGTGCTGTCAGAGCTGGCTGGGGACTTCCACAGTGGCCAAAAGCCAGACTTTGACACAAATGTCCAGTGGAGCTGAATTAGTCCAAGGCACTTTTCCCCCCAGGCAGAGATTGAGACTCTCCAGTGTAGAATAGAGGGGGCTGGAGGGAAGGGTGCATGTTTGAGGCCCAGAAAATTCCCAATAGCTTAGAAAAAAGAAGATGGTTCTTTGGTGAAATCCTCAGGCAGCCGGGTGAAACCAAAGGGAGAACTTCCCCAGAGTGTTTAATTCATCTGTCAGCCCCCTGCTACAGAAAGGGGACACTTAGGATGAGGATTAGGTGAGGTGAGGGAAATTAATCAGTGTTTTTGACAAAGTTTCTGTGCCAACTCAAGGGGCCCTCAGCTGCTGACAGCCAGAGCCAAGGGAGGGATGTCTCAGTCCTGGTCCTTCAGCCTCCCCTCGTGGCTGGTGTCCTGCTCAGTGACAGAGACAGGTGGCCCTTTGGGAGATTCTGTGTTATTAAAGAAGAATATGAATTACACAGTCAAGGCAGAAAGCCTTATCAAGGCAGGTAGCATTCACTTCAAATTCGGATCAAAGGAGAGAAACAGAAAGGTTTGGAAATCTCATTCCTGTTCCCAGTGCATAAGGGACTTTTTAATGGATCTGGCAAGAAGGGAGACAGGAAAAGAGGGTTTGAAAACTGAGCAAGGAAGGGAAAACAAGTAAATGGAGGAAGCTAATATCCAACTCTTTCATTTTCAGCCTTCTTGAAATGACTGCATTGGGGTTTTCATTGACCTTGGTTCCAAAGTTGCTTCGTGCATTTAATCTAAAAAATGAAAGCCTGGAAAACCCCAAGTTTAGAAATAAGTTCAAGTTTCTCCTTATTCTGCAAGCACTTCTGGTTAAAGGCAGGTAGTTCTTTTGAGTTTGCATGACTTCAGGATCTGACTTAAGGTGTCTAAAAATTAATTAAAATGCCCAGCATAAAATTAATTAAAATGCCCAAGCCATGTGGGTGAAGGGGTACAAGAATATGAGTGCATCTCTCCAGCTGCACTTCCTCATCCTCCTTCCCTCAGTTATGCAGATAAGTGCAGGCTGGATGTTTTGCTACATTTTGTTGCAAAGCCAAGAGCCAAGGCAATTGTGTTGGATAAAGCAGAGATTTAAATCATTTGGAAACTGTTGAGAGAGGACAGATCTGATAGTAACAACCTTCATGGTTGGCAAGTTACAGCTGCTTATGACAACTTGTAACAACGAAAGCTTATAGTGAAGTTAAAAGCTCAATATCTGTATTGTGCTATAGGATCAGTTTCAATCCCCACGTATAAACCTTCAAACTTTAGGCTGCCTTTATAATCTTTGAGTTTACTTCGGTTTTTTCTGGGTTAAAAAGAGTTAGGTAGTTTTTTTATAAATGTTAGAGTGCTTGTTTTCATTCTGATTTTTTTTTCTTTAACACTTTGGGACAGCTTAGTTAATTTATTTCAGTGTAAAGAAAGTGGAGTCATACTGCAGTCGTAGGTGTTTCTCACTTATGGCAGCAGTTACAGCAGGATGTTGTCTTGACATGTTTTGGACCATCTCAGAACATCTGTTATTCTGTAATGATGACTTTCACACTGCACACAGGGAACAACTACAACAGCATGTGTTAGGAGTGCTCTCAAACTGTACATGTAAAAGTTTTCATCAGGGTCTGTAGTTTGCACCAATAACTTTATCAGACTAAAATCTAAAGAAATAAAAAAATGCCACCAGCGCTGTCTGCATGCTGACACTGAAATTGCTGTGATGTCTGCAAGTAAAGAGTGACTAATTGTTCACAGTGGGTCTGAAGGCAAGACCACAGGTTTGTATTTAAGAATAGAGGTCATACTTGTTCATTGGCTTGGCAGCTATATATTGGAGAACAGGCACATTAATCTCTAGTGCACACACTCTGTGTGTGAGGCAGTTAGTGCCACTCTCAGCTGTGTTTTAATTGGAGGTTTCAGTGGGAGCAGGAACGTGATGTTCTGCAGCAGAGTGTCAGTGACAGCACCTGGGGACTCCTGTGCTCCAACAGGGTACTTTAAAAGTAGAACAGGTTCAGAAAAAAACAAAACCAGTGAGAAGTCCAGAGGATTTCCTTCACAGTGATTGATTCAGAAAGCCCAGAACTTCTGAGAGAATCAGAGCAGGTTGGGGGGGGTTGGTTCACCATCAGTGTCTGACTAAAGTCTCCTCATGCAAGGGTGGTTGGCACACGACGACTCGAGAAGATTCAGTGACTGAAAGATTAAATGAGACCATTTCAGATTAGATGCACATTTTAAATGAGAACAGTCAGTGGAAAGGGTTGCCAGAGGGTGCCAGGGCTTTGGCTTACAGCAGTGATGTGAGGAGAGCACATCTTCCTAGAGAAGAGAGAGCAGGGGTTGGTCACAAAATATGGGTGAGTCCAAAATATGGGCCCAGTTCAGGGATGGTTGGGTGAAGTGGCCCAACTGGGCTGTGCAGGTGGCCATGAAGAGGATTGCAGTGGTCTGGAACTTAGGCAAGCTGTTTGTAGTACCCAGCAGTTCACAGGTCCAAAGCCAGTCAGCAAATGGGGCAGTGCAGCTTCCCCATCATCTCTGAGAGATGGAGGAATGAGCAGAAGTTAAATAATTTCTGGGTCACACATTGAACTGGTGGCCAGGCTGGGACTGGGGCAGGGTCTGCTTGTGCTGCCCTGCATGAGGGTGCCCCTCCTTTTCCCCAGGCATGAGCACAGCCTGACTGGAGAGATGTTTGCAGGGATCAAGTCAAAATCTGCTTTTCTCCCTTGAGTATCTCTGAGAGCCCAGTGAAAGAAATGATGTCGTGACATGCATCCATGTTCTTCCATGAGGGATGCAGCTGGATTAGATGCCTGGTTAGCAAAGGGTGTTTTTTCCAAGCTCCCTGCATCAGCTGGGTCAGCAGACTCTCCCCAGGCTGGGGTGCAAGCACCTACTTTTCCAGCCAGAAGTGCAGTTGACAGGCAAACCCCACGTGTAATCAAGGCAGCCCATTGCAGATGAACAAGGTCTGGCTTTTCTGGGGACAGAAGGGATGTGCAAGAACGACATGGGGTCAGGCAATGGGGTAAATTGCACCTAGGTATGATTTGACAATCACTCCCCTGATAACAGCTTATAATGTTTACAATTTGTCTTCTGTTTTGTTTTGTGATTTCAGGAGCAGAAGGCACAGTGTTCCCTAAATCTATAGAAACTCCCAATGTCAGGGCAGACCCCTTCAAGGAACTAAGGTAAACTTTGGAATATGGTTTAATGGTAACTCAGTGGAGCCTTGTTGGAGTTGTGCTTACTGCTGGGCATCATTTCTGCTTTTGCAAAAGAGCTTGGGGATTCTCTTTGGAAGGCATCACAAGAGAGGATGCCATGGAAGGGAAGGGACCTGCCATATTTACATGTGATATGACCAAACTAAAGGCAATCACAGGTCATGAGAGCAGCATTTCTGCTCTGCAATGTGCTCTGCATACCCTGGGCTCAGCATTTGGAAAAAAAAAGTAGAGTAATTTTTTCCTGGTTGTGCAGGGAGGTACTGAAGGCCGTGCTGGATCACAGGGAGTAGCAGCAGGCAAAAGGATAATGCTGTCCAGTATTATCTGACTTGCAGAATTGCAAACCCTCCCTGACCTACACAGGGCACAGCTGTGCACATGTGTAACTGCTGACACTTGCAGAGATGCCACTTGCTGACAGCATTGTGCCATGGGGGAATAAACAGCACAGCTCCTGGGAGCCAGCTCTGCCCTCAAGCTAAGGCTGGGTGTTATATTTATTTTTAAAAATAATTTAAAAAAAAAGTGTGGCACTACAGGTTAACTTGAATGACTAGCCTCAGGAAAGATACTAATCATATGGCCTAAAAAATTAATGACTCAATCTCATGATATTTTCTGACCAAGACTGTTGTAGGGGTTTGCCTCAATACTCAAATTATTCCTCCTTAGAAAAAGAGAGAGAAATATTAAAAAAAAAAAAAAAAAGCAGAAGGACATTTTGTCCTTAAATATTGGATTGCCAGCTCTCCTTTGCTGGAAAATTCTGGACATGGAGCAACCCTGAGCCAGCTGAAGTTGAGCACAAGTGCTGCTGGTTTACTGCAGATTCAGGGGGCTGAGAGAGAGCAGCTCTTATGGATTCCCTCCTCTGGTACCAGGGATAGTTGTGGCTCAGCTAGGTCACCAGGGAAGAGGAAGAATCTGCCTTCCCTTGGGTCTGTTTCTACCTTTGAGTTTCCCCCAGGAAACCCTCTAATTGTTCCAATTTCCCACTCTGGGAATCACCTGTCAGACTGCAGGAGCAGTGGGGGCGTGATGGGGTTTGTTAGGAAAGTTTGTTCTCTTCCTCCAGGCTGTGACTTTACCCTGCCTCCTGGTTTTCCCAGTTTGGGTCTGCTGCCTTTAAAAAAAGAGGAAATGTGGTCTTTACTCACTGTGACATGCAGCTGGCAGGGCAGGGGCTGCAGTGGGGAAAAGGAGACGTGAGGGCAGGGAGTGCTGGGGCAAGGCTCTCCATTTCCCTGGAAAAGCCAAGCAAAGGCACCAGCAGATGGATTTCTAGGTGACCTCCAGGTGACAAAGGCTTTCTGGCACAGACTGTGTTTACTGACATTTTCATTTAAAAAAAACCAAAAAAAAAACAAAAAAAAAAAACCACCTGCAAGATCATGTTTAAGATATCCAGTAGCATCTCCAAAATTTACCAGAACCAAAATTTACAAAACCAGGTCTTGAGTAGTGCAAAAGAAATGCAAGGTTTAGGTCCAAGTTGGTGATGATTTAAGAGTTTTCTAAAATGGGAAGGGGGAAAAAAATCCAAATAAGTGTAGGATGTCGTATTGGAGGGGAAAAATGTGAATTGAAAGAGCCTTAATGTGATTGACTATGCTTCTGTTCCAAAGTGAATTAAACTAAATGAAATTGAAATGAATTAATGGCAGTATCCATGGAAGGGATTGATTCAGTATATTTGATCTGCTTTAAATTCATGTTGTTATTTCACTTGTTTTATGTGGAGAGCTGTTAGGTAACTGATTTCCTTTCGAATTAGTGGACTGGGTGATAAAAATACTTTAAAATCTGCTGTGGTTTTTATATTTTTTTTAAAGGTAAATTATTTAATAGAATTTACCAAATCTCATGGGGTTTTTGTATTTTTTTTTTTGAGGAAAATTATTGAATAGAATTTACCTGGAGGAAAAAAAATCCCACAAGGTCCTAAAATACTCTGTGTGCTTCTGACAAGTTTATCTTGGCAAAAATAAATGTTTTTACAGCATCCTGAGGAGAAAAGAGCCAGTGGTGGCAGTGTGTAGGGGAAGCAAGGTTTTCCAAGAACAAATGCTCTACTGCTCCCCAGACCAAGATCCATCCATCTCTCTCTACATGTTGGATCACTGGCTGCTTCTTAGCTAAAACGGTGCCTTTTGGGTGCAGTACAGAGTTAATAGTGAAAATAATCTTACTCTGAGGGGAGATTTTTTGGTTCCTTCCTATTTTGATAGCAGAGTGTGTGCATAAGGTGTCCTTTTTGCCTATTTACAAAGATGCTTCAGTGAAATGGGGCTGGATGAGATGGGCCCTGAGCTGTCACACATTGCTGGGAAAGCAGCAGTGAAATCACACCCTCAGTAGCTGGCTTGCCTCTAAAAGACCTTTTTCTGCAATAAATAGTGCTTTCTTTCCTGCTTAGGCTGAACTTCTCAGGTGGAAAGTGCACATTCAGCTGCTGCAGGTGCCCCCAGGCACCACCAGCCTCCATCTCTATCCTAAAGCAAGGATTATGGTGCTTTGGGGATTTCTCCCTTTGCTCTTGTCAGTGCCCACTCCTCTTCTTTTGTAAGAAAGGTGGCACAGGCTGTCACAAAGAGAGGAGACCAGCTGCTCTTGTCACTCCTGGGATGGAGGATACCTGGATGTCCTCCTTACCTTGCTCCTCTCCTGCACAGACAGAGTCCCTGGCAGGAATAATAGTGACCTAAAAGCTGGAGATGGTTGACAAGTTTTTGATTTACTTTTGTGAACTTCTTCCTGTTTTTACATATTTGAAGTAATTGTAGACTCCTGAATGTATTTGTTGTTGTTCGTTGGGTTCTAAACCGGTCAAAAGCTGTGAAAAGGCAAGCAAACAAATCCAAATTAATTTTAAATACTTGGGATGTTTAGCATTGCCATCTGGTATCGTCCCAAAATAGTTTAGGGGGAGGGCTTGGGAGATTTGTTTGGACATTGAAATATTTGTACTCATCTGCATTGACGCTTTTTAGAGCAGGTTGGTGCCTTTGACATATGGTAATGTGATTGCTTATGTATAAAAGTTGAATTCAATATGACCTTTTCTCACTGGATTATTTGAGCAGCACCCAAGTAACTTGTCAAGAGGCAGCCTTGAGAACCTCTCCTTGACATTGGCAGGAATCACCTGCCTTTTTCTATTTACATGCCTCAAAAAAACAAATACATGCCAGAGATGCAAACAGAAATTGTCCATCAAACACCAGCACTCTGCAGAGGTGAGGGATAAAGGCTGGACTAGCCAGTGAATAAGGAAGAAGAAAATAGTTTGAGGGGAAAGGATTAAAAGGTGGGTGTTGAAATATAAGATAAAAGTAGCAGGAGGATGCTGTTAAAGTGCCAGGTGCTGGAAGCTGGGGATGGGGTGGGGTTGGGGCAGAGCTGCCTGAAGTACCAATGTCCAGGTTGTGCTGCAGCTTGGAAACCTGATCCAGGGTATTTCTGTTCCCAAAGTAAAAAGAAGTCAGACAACATGAAATTCACTCCATGAGGGGCAAGCACACACCTGGAATTCATCCACAGATATTGGAGGTTGAAAATGCAGTGAATTCCTCACCCAAGGCTAGGAAGCCAAGGGACGACTGTTTTTTCTATAATGCACAAATATAGTTAAGGGAGAATTAATCCCTTGGGCTTAAAGGGGTAATTTTTTGGCTAAAGTTAATTATGAAGCACTGAAAGCACAAAATGGCAGATGAAATGTGCTTGCTGCTTGATTTTATTAGTGCAATTTCACCTCACCATGTAGAATACTGAACTATCCAAATAGTCCAAGTGAGACCTATTGTAACAAAAAACAATTGAAATACAGTGCTGAGCTAACGTAACAATACTCATTTTGAAAAACAGGAATTCTTACCAAGTCAAGGTTTCTGTCAGCTGTGTTTCACAAGGCACCATAGATAAGTTGGTACAAAAGTAATATTTTGTCGAAAACCAATTACATTAATAATGATTAAGAGGAGAAAAATTAGAGGAAATGCGAAAAATGAATGGTATAAAAGAGGAAGTTACTGGTGAGAAATGAAAGTCATTTATAGAGAGTAATGTAGGATACTGAAACCCTGTTTAGCTCACAGTGAACACCTGTGGATTCCTGTGAGGTTTCAGCAAGGGGGAGATGACCGCTGAAGCCTTGTACAGTGCTGGTGTTATTTTCTGATTGTTTTACAAGCAGGAATGCAATTTTTTTCTCTGTTATACTAGTGCAATCCCAATAATTTTGATAGTCCTAACAGCTTAAAAGACAACAGATTTTCCTTGGGATGAGCTTACCTTCACACTGTAACAAACAAAACTATTATTAGTTACTTTCAGACAGGTTGAATGTAAACAGCCATCTCCAGTAAAGCTAACACAAACCTACTCATACACAACTAAAAGGAGACACCAGATTCCTGATTTCTAAACTTCAGGCTAATTTCAGTGGCCTTTGGTGAGTTGCTTTTGAATCCTCATCACCTCATTATCTGACTGAGGATGCCACATCTGATTTAACAATTTTCTCATGGCAGCTGAGGCTTCCTGAAACTCTTGCTGTTGCAGAGACTTTCCCAGAGCAGAATTCACACTGATTTTGAAGCCACTTTGCTTTAGTATTTTGTCCTGGTGATATCCCTTCAAATCTGCTGCCTGTTTGGCTCTTACAAAAGACAAGCCACAGCCCTCCCAAGCCAAAGGCAGCCTCTCCACAGCTTCCTGGGTGCATTAAGATGTATTTATACCACTGGATATAAGGGTTGGAGTTAGGGAAGAAGTTGATTGCTGGGGCTTTCCATCTGTTAAAGTAGGGGAGGGGAGGGGAGGGGAGGGGAGGGCAGGGCAGGGCAGGGCAGGGCTTTACCCTAGCAAACCTTCTCTTGGTGGCCTTCCTCTCTTTCACAGCCAGCACCAGGAAGGGTGGATTTAGCTCTTGGTGTCCTTTCCTTCCCTGTTTTCAGTGG